TGTTTGGGGAAAGAATAAACTCTGGCATAAGGGTGTGGGCTTTAGTTTGTGGACCAGATGGTGTGTTCTGTTGTTTTAAAGCCATATGTAATTGATACATAAAGTGACAGACTGAAGTAAAAGCAAAATAAGTATTTTAAGACAAGCAGTCAAAAAGAAGGCAGAATATGACCCCCAAAGCATAAGTGAAAAATCTGGCTTTTGGAAGAACTCGGAATGTTAGTGTATAGACAAGTTGTCAAAAAAGAACATGTCAAGGAGTAGTTATGGGGTTGCTGGCTCAGGTTATTTTAAGAATGAAGCTGTCTTTTGACAACTAGGAAAACTCAGGTTTGGGGTACATTGACCTTCTCTTCTTTACCTCTCCTTCTCACTCCCTACCCTAGGGTTCAATTCCTACATCAAAACCCCAAGATTAGAATCTTGCCTAGATTTAAATAATATTCCCCTTGTGCCTTTCACAAAGCATGTGAGTATACACTTAATGGCTTTCAATAGAACAAGCACAGAGGCTGTACCTTTTTTTAGTCTTTGAGACTTACTGTGTCAGGGCATTGTGTGTAAGTGTGCACATATATGTGTGACTACATCTGCCTTCACAGAGCATGACAAGTGGAAATCAGGGTCCTGTTTGTGCCGTTAGAGTAAAATCATTCTCACTTTAGTAAAGAGCAAGTGTTTTGATTTATGGTTAGGTTTCTTGAGGGAGTCAATGAGAAAGTGACCTGAAGTAACCTATGTCTAGAGGAGTAAAAAACAAAAAAACAAACAAACAAAACCCAGAAATTATTTGAGAGGATTAGAGAAACCATTTCTTTTAATGGGATGCTGTCTGGAAGAAGAACAGCCTGTGTCAGTCTTCTTAAGATGGCAAAACATGTTCCTCCTTGGGAAAGGTACTACAGAGCACAAAGAGGCTGAGCCTATATAACACAAATGAAGTGGATCTTGGGTAAAAAAATGGAATCAGTGTAGATTGCCAATTTAGCTAACTCAGCCCTTTTAAAGTCTCAATTATGCAAGCCAGCGGAATTGTCCCCTAACTTTGTGCTGTTTAGACACACATATGATTTTGTGAGAGCTAGAATGATGCAGTTATCTGCAGGTGAAGAGGGTCTGAGATTCATAAGCTAAAATGGCTTCTGGACCCTCACAATGGGGAAGCACAGAAGGACCCAGAGGTAACCTCCTGCAACAGGAAATGGGAGCTTCCTCTTACTCTCCTGCCAACCTCCTGTCCCCATTTCCGCCCAGCAGATATTGTCATTCCAATCTCCCCTGCCACTTTGGCTCTCTTGCTGCTGTCATGGTTCAACTGTTCTGAGAAACTTGTACTCACCAGGCTTGGACAGAGGGAACTTGACCCAGGCATTAATTGGACTATATAAGAAAAGAGCAAAACAAGCCATTTCTTCAAAACTGAACAATATCAAAAAGACATGTTTATTTTTACTTGAAGAGATTTTACACACACACCTTCTTTTATTCAGCTACAGTACAGACAGGATAATTACTTGGTCGAATCAATCAAATCATTCAAACCTAGAGTGGCCCAGAATTTTTAGTTCTAAATGATTTGTCAATGGTAGGAATGATAAGGAAAGGATTAGGAAATAAACTGCATAATTGTTTCGCTTCTCTGCTTTCTTGCATATGTTCATTATTGAGAATCAATTCCAATTTGAGAGGTTTTAATTCTTTGTAAATGAATAGGAAGTGAGGAAGTAAATGTTCAGTGTTTTCCTCAAATTATGTCTCATAATGTAAGAAAATAGTGGCAAAAAGCCATCAACAGGTGGTGTTTTCATTAGCCAGTGATTTATTTTTCAAAGCTTTTTCATATTAATGAAGCAAGATTGAAATTAGAATCATCTTGTCAGTCCTAGTTCTGTGTTGTTAAAATGCACTTACATTCTGCAAATTTCTAGGAGGGCAGAGCAAACTAACCATTTGTCATAATTTTATGATGGTAACTTAAGGCCCATAGTCTAACCAGACCTCAAATTATGTGTTCAGCCCTAATTTTTGCTTTCAGTGGGTTTATGGAAGCTGTGAGTCTCAGGAACACACAGCAGAAATCTTAGTTCTGCTCTGCACTATGAAGTATTTATAAGATATCAATTTCATGACCAGCATTGCAACAGTTCAACATATATTTGTTAAACATATTCTTCCCATGGAATCCCATGTTTGAATGGAAGTATATTACAGTTGGAAACACAGATTTCTAATATTGTCTCTGCTCTGGGTTTATCAGTCTTCATTATAGTTACCTAATAGTCAATATAGTCATTTGTGATACATGGAATTTTCATTGATATAAGAATTAAGACCACTCTGCTAGAGGAAATCATCTATTGACTGGGTCTGTTACCAATTCTCATTCCATAACTGAAGCTAGCCCCTTTGGTCAAACTGAGTTCTATCACATTCACTTTAGAACTGAAGATTTGACAAGGAGTCTAGACTCGCAGCTCCACTTTGTCACCACGGACATACTCTTTAACTTCCTATGATTTAGTATCTCTTTCCGAAACCCAACTGAAACTCCATCAAAGGTTATCTGTAACCTCTAATTATGAAATCCAGCTTCCTTTTATCAATCCTTACATTTCTTGTATCTCTGCATACCTGATAATGACAAATCCTTTCTTAAAACACATTTCTCTTAATTATCTTCTTAGGTTGGCCCAGACCTGTATTAGCAACTACCTTAAATATTTCAGCCTCCTTCTAACCAGTGTTCCTGCCCCTAGGCTTTTCTGTTTCAATTTGCCCTAAATATTGCTGCTATGTTAATGTCCTAAATGCTGCCTTGATTATACCATTACCTTGTTCAATAGCCTTTGGTAAGCCCCTAATGCTAAAAAAAAAAAAAAGTAGGTATAATCTTACCTCTTTTTCAAGACTTTCATAACAGAGCTTTTATCTCCATTTCCGGCCTTGACTTCTACTACTCTTTGTCTCTTTGTACCCTCTATTCTAGCCAAACTAAACTACTGTTTCCTGAACATGCTCTGTACGTTTTTTTTTTGAAACAGAGGCTTGCTATGTTACCTAGGTTGGCCTCAAACATCTGGGCTCTAGTGGTCCTCCTGTCTCAGCCTCTGGAGTAGCTGGAACTACAGGCCCGTATCACTGTGCTGGCTATTTTATTCATTTTTACTTTTGCTCATGCTACTCCTTGTGCCTAGAATACTCTGCCCCCCTCTCTCTTTGTGTAGTAAAGTCCTACATATTCTTCAAGATCCATCTTAATTTCACCTCCTCTCTATCTGTGAATACAAAATAGGTGTTTAATACATTTTTGTTGTATTAAATCTCTGAACTGCTATTTCTTTTTTTCTGATATCTATGTAGAGATCATGCACAAATCACAGTTGCTTCCTTTGTGTTTTTCTTCCTCCTTCCCCTTGTCCTTGCTAAGAAGACCACAGATTGAGGTGTGAGTGGGATTTAAAAAGGTCAGGGCAACCCCCAAACCAAGAAAAAATGGAATACATAATGAAAAATCATGTCCGTGAGAACATAGCTAAAGAAAGCAAGAGAGATCTGGCAGGAAGGGAAGCAAGGTTGAGCTTTTGTTCAAAATCCAGTTTGAGAACAAGTGAAATTAGACTACTAAGCTTAGAAATACATGTATCTATGTGAATATATCCTCTGGGATATATTTATGGGACAGTGCCAAGGTTATTAAGGAGCTATAGCTACTTACTAGACAGAAAAGGAACAAAGGACACAAGTTCCCTCTATTTGTGCATGTCCCCTCATCCCCTGTGCCCTTCCCATCCTCTTTTCCAAAAGAATGAACTTTGAACAATTACAAATCACAAGACCCATAGAGACAGCGATGAAGCAACAAATATGACTGAAGGAAGGGATGCTGGCAGAATAAGGGCCAGTAAATTGGGGGTAGTATATTTGAAATAGACTTTGTGGAGGGTTGGGATGGCGGATGAGAAAGTAGTAGATATGGGCACAGGTCTTAGAGGAGAAGTAGCTGTCAAAGCTGAAGACTTGGGGATAGGAAGAATAAAAAAGTCTATGATCAATCTAGAGTGATGTAAGATTTTATTTTTCACATAAAGAATGAGAATAGCTTGCTCAACTGAAAATATGTTAAGAGTTCTGAGTATTATTATAACTACATTGTAGTCAGTAATCTGCAAAAGGCTCTTAATATGTACCAGTAAGTGATGGTAAGCAATGAGTGTCCACTGTTGAGACAGCCAGGCGTTGTGTTCAAAGCTCGGCATCTCTGTGGGTGATGTCTCAGTGCAAAAGAAGGAAAGCTATGAGGTACAATACTTGATTTTGATAAATCTTGCACTAAAAATACTGTTTTTATCCTGAAGGAGTCTACTGATAAATATATAATGTCACTACCAAAAAACTCAAAAGAATCATAGAATGCTAAGTGAAAACCATGACTATGAGTTTGAGACTGGTTCTAGTCCTAGCTTTGCTGCATACTGGTTGTATGATTGCAAAACACTTTATCATCACTCTAAAGTTCAGTTCTCGCACCAGTGAAATGCTGGCATCTTCTTTGTGGGATTGTTATGATTATTAATTGATATATGCGAAATTTTTTGGTATAGTGTCTAGCAAGCAATAATCATTCAATAAATTATAGTTTTCTTGGTCTACTCATCTGTTCATCATATGCTATAGAATTATTACAAGGGGAGAATGAGATATTGACTATGAAGTACTTTGAAAAGTTAAAAACATTAGGTTCTTTAATGTCAGTAAATTTCTGCAACCACTCACAAAATCATAAATGTCATCTTTTCTCCAACAGTGACAACCTGCTAGAATAGATATATATTATTAACCAGCATCTAAAATAGTGCTTGGCCCATAGCACGTATTCAATCAATCTCTGAAGTATTTGTCTACTGACTGACTAAACTCCATATGATAATTGGTTCTTAATCTCATTGTTTTTTTCCCCCTTCTTCCCTGTTTCCCTCTGGCTTCATACTTTGCGATGACAGCAAACCCTGGAGATGAACCTCACCAACCTGGTTAAGCGCAACAGTGAACTAGAAAATCAAATGGCCAAACTAATACAGATCTGCCAGCAGGTTGAGGTATGTAACAGAAACATTTGCAATTCCTTTAGACCTGGATCAGGCAATTGTCTGGGGCAACTTCAATTTTGGCAGAGTGTATTTCAATCATGTGGAGTGAAGGACTGAATGGTAGTACCAGGTGGTCTCATTTTTCCAGGATGCTTGTTCTAAGAAAAGTGACAAATATCTATATTTTTAAAAAATAGGCAATAGAAATGGATTGGGGGGAGAAGACAATCTGAGGGATAATCCCTTTTCCTTTTCAAACAGCAGGAAGTGTGAGAATAAGACATAATATGTGCTTCTTCTTTCATGAAATTGACATTATTACTCCTTAAAGATATTAATGGGGTGTCATAGGCAAGTTAGGAATCCTGAGTCTTTGGGGTTAGGATGAGGTTCATTCAATGAACTATTGTTTCTATAACAAAATAATCAGGACTGCTTCTCTTTCCTAGCTTCTCCTTCTTCATCCCCTGCCCTTGGTCCTAACTATACCATGTTCTCTACCTGGTCCTCACTCATCACCTTTCCACTTATTCTTATCATCAACAAATAATATCTATGTTAAAGTTGTTTGTGAATTGCAAACTGCTCTACACATATAAAGCTTTACAAATTGTTACCTACACTAAATCTTAGAGGATAGCTTAGAAGAGGACTTGACCTCTTTGTAACTGGACATAATAAAAGAAAGATAATATCTGAGCTTGGTAGTACATGCCTGTGTAGACCTAGCCTTTTGGGAGGTTGTAGCAAGAGGATCACGAGTTTGATACTAGGCCGGGCAATTTAGTAACACAGTGAGGCCCTGTCTCAAAAACCAAAAAAACTGCTGGAAGGTAGCTCATTACAAACACCCTGAATTCGATCCCCAGTACTGGAATGAATGAATGAATGAATGAATCCTTCTCTTTCAAGAGGATGCTTGAAACTCTGGCTATATCATTTAGTTTAATCTAGTGTTTACTTTGTTAAAGAATTGATGGTAGTAGGCCTCAAAGTCTAGACAGGGTCACATAAAATATTATAGGATTCCTAGGGCTGGGTATTTAGCTCAGTGGTTCCGCCACCTGCCTTGCAAGGGTAAGGACCTGAGTTCAATCCCTGGTACCAAAAAAAAAAAAAAAATTATAGGATTCCTAATGGGCGGTGATTGAATAAAAATGTTTCTAATTCTATTTAAAGCCTCATAGTCCAGTTCTTTTTTTATTTTTCTTTTTAATATTTTTTAAAAATTTTATTTCCTTGGTACATTTTAGATATACACTATAAAGACATTCATCATTGGAAATTTGCACCTTTACATACATAATCTCACTGGGTTCTTATTTTTTCCCCCTTCCTCTGCCCTCCCTTCAACACCTCCATCCCTCCCTATTTACAAAGACTTTGTTTCCATTTTTTCATTTTCTCTTATTCCATTCCCTT